GGTTAGATTCTAATACGGTTAACTGCTTTTTTATTGTTGGACATAGTGTTCTGCTGTAGTAAAGAATGCTGTTATAAACATTTGTGCACAAATAATTGTACTTTCTCTCTTTAGCACTAGTCCCCTGAAATGACATTACAAAACTCAGGAGTTAATACATTTTTAAGGCTCAGGATACATTTTACCAAATGCTTGTGTCAAAATACCCTTCCTCCAGCTGTGGTTGAGAATGTTCCAACTCCCGGCATCATGACCAGCACTGAGCATCTCTTGAAAGAAAAAAATCCTTGCCAATTTGATGAGAAAACAGTATCTTACTGTAATTTTATTCACATTTCTGATTACTAGTTACCATGTATTTACTCTCCTGTTTTTCCTCTTCTATCAACAACTTGTTCATGACCTTTGCCCATTTTTCCCATTTATCATCCGCATTAATGAAATTTTGTTTTGTAAAGTCTCCATTGAAGCAGCAATAAAACACTTACTAGAGTTCACTTTGTTGAATTGATGTAAGTATTTTATTTAAAGTAATATTCTGAAGACTATAGTTTATTGGTAGGAAAAATATGAATCATACATGTTTAAAGATAATTTTGTACTGACATTTATGGGAACTTGATTTCTCCAAATAACATGATTAGTTTTGTAGTGCGACTATTGGAATGCATTCTGCAGAAATGTGGTTTTTACCTTCAGATCTGAGCACAATACCCTTACATCAAAAAAGAAAAAAAAAGGATAATAAAAAAAACGCAACTTGGATGAGTTTAAATTTTAGTAGACAACATCTGATTTGTTGAAGAGTAAGTTCTTTTATTTACCTCTTCAAGGAACTGGTTATTTTTTTCACTTCTCTCTGTGCATCTGTATCCTATAAAGAAAATACAAGTACACAATGAAATTTCACACAGTGATGCTGCTACCCTGGTGTTTCGAAGCAAACTTTGGTGGAGCGAGGCGGTACTTTCTGAAGGACCATTATAAGGAAATTACAGATGTCTTAGATCCAGGCACTATTCAGATCTCTGAGAAGATGTGTCATGTGGAGAGCTAGTTCCAGGGTTCCCGCCACCAGGTCTGGAGTGGTGGGAATGCAGGGAAAAAAGAACCTTCTGTGTAAGCGGACACAGTTGATCTCACTAGCATGGTAATGGTTAACACTGTTTTCTTTTTCAGCTGTACCATGTGGAAGAAGTCCCAGCCCTAGCAGTAGGATTTGAAGAAATCTGAGGTTCCACTGCAAGATCCAGGCTAGCAAATACACCTCTCATTATTGACTTTAACAAGTAGTTTATATGTAAGATGAAAAACCATGTAATATGTTTTCTAGTACTGCACATGTGTTGTTATTTCTTCAAAACGGGTGTGGAGGTTAGAAAGAGAGGTGATAAATTCAGATGGCAGGGTACTCCTCTACATTTTTGCATTTAACAAACATTTATAGGGGCGCCTGGGTGGCTCAGTTGGTTAACACGCTCATACACACACAACACCCCTCCTGTTTCACTCTTGCCCAGGGCTTCCATTCAAATATTCTATTTATTTATGTTTTTATGTACAGAGGACACTGGTAGGGCTTTTTGGCCCAAAAAGCCAGCTAAAACCACCACCTCCAATCATGCTTTCCTCTGTTATCATCCAAAATATAGGCCCTTTACACCCTCGATCCTCGTTGGTGCTCCCCTGATACCGCTCTCCTGTGAATTCTCCTCCTTGACTCAACCTCTCACTTTCCCCCCTTTTCTCAGATGCTTCTACAGAGCTCCCTACACTCCTGTTAGAGGACTTGTTTTGAAGTCACTTTTGCATCACCCGTAATGCATTTGCTGAGAGAATATATTCTGGGGGGGAAGGGGAGAGGGTGAGGGGTATTACTGGCGGAGGGGTGGGAGCCAATGGGGGAAGAGGAGTCCCCTCTGCCATCTCTTATAGTTGTTAAATTCCTGGTCATTCTCCCTTTACATTTATTTTTATATGACTTCGGGATCTGGGTCACTCTCCACACTGTCTGCCACCACTGTTGGAGACATCCTTGTCCCCATGGCCTGTGGATCCCAGCGCCCCAGGAGCTGGTCCCCTCATCTCTGATGTCCTCACGCACCACCCCCGTGAGCACACCCTCGGCTGCATCATGACCTAGAACTGCTCTACCCCGGACACACGCAGCCTGCTCTCTGAACACAACTGCCTATCTTATTGGGCCATTTATCCGATTATTCTCAATAACATCAATTTTTCAACTGCTACAAGTTTATTATTTCCTTATTGTTCTCTGTCAGCTTCCTGGTGCTTTGACTTATTTTCTACCCACATTAGGTTCTACGTCCAGCTACTCTCTGAGCGAGAGAGCAAAACCCGTTCTCCCTCTGTGGTGCCTGCCCTGGCTCTCCGCCAACTGACAAGTCTACAAACCAATCGAGTTTTCTACTGAGCCCATGACCAAAAAAAAAAAAAGAAAAAAAAAAGAGGACCGTGATGTGCTCCCTCTGACTTCCTCAGGACCTTATTCCATCAATTCTCTCTCCCCAGTCTTTCTCGAACCCTGCCTTCTTCGCTGGCCCTTTCTCATCATTTAAATATGCTCCCCTAGTTCCCATCTAAAAAAACATGATTTCTCAACTCCGGCACTACCTTATCTGCCGCATGACCATCCCCCTCTCTTCCCCATCACATTATTGGAAGAGCGCCTACATGTACTGACTGCATTTCCTCACCTCTGGCGCTCGGCACTGTCTCTGCTCCTATTGTTCCGCGGAAACAATCTGGGTGAAGATCGCCAGTAACAGACATCATTAAATTCAGCTCATTCCAGTCGTGACTTCTCCAGAGTGTCTGACAGAGCTGACCACTTCCACCATCCTTTGGTTTCTGAGGCCCCTGTGGCCACTTCTTTGCATCTCACTTGCAGCTTCCTTTTCCTCCTCCCCATCTCTTATGTTGGTGTTTCTCAGAGTTGATCCTTGACCCGTTGGCTTTCAAATACTCTCACTTAACTGGGTGATCTCTGCCATCCTGGGGCTTCAAAGATCCGTTATATGACAAATATCAATCACCTTATGGATTGGAGAACTTCATAGAAACAAACTCAAAAGGTCCATAACCGAACTCACCTTCTCCACCAAATCTGGTTCTCCAACGTTCCCTAGATCCTTAAAGGTACCTCCATCTATGCTGGTCAGTTTCTAAAGGCAGAAACTGAGATCTCATTCTTGAGTCCTTTATCTCCTGGAAATTCAGAGTCTGAGTCTTGTAGAGACTGCCACCCACAAATCTGTTAAATCTGTGCTCTCTTCTCACTCCTCACTGCCATTGCCTTAGTCCAGGTCACTGGCTCATGCCTGCTTTATTGTAGGAATTCCCTAAATGGTACCCCTTCTTCCAGTTCTGCTCCCCTTTGAGCCAAGTCAGTCTCCACATGGCAGCTGCTGTGGCCTCCCCGGGATCTCACTGTGTTACTTGTTGCTTAAGACCCTGTAATGGGTGCCCCCTCCTTTAAGAAAAAAGTACACAGGGTTCTCATCTCTTTCCTCCCTCTAGTACTCAACATTTCAGCCACATTGTACATTTGATTCAATGCTTTTCGGCATATTTCTCAATTCCAACCATTTGTTTTTAGTGTCTTATCAAGTAGGGCCACCCACATCAGTACCAACCAAGACATGTGAACCACATCATGTGTGTTTATGGTCCATGTTTCCATTCACCTTTGTCATGTATATACATATTTCGACACTAATATAATCCTTAGAACACATTATTTTGCGTTCCCCATTTTTCAGTTACATTAAAAGTTGTTTTCTGATTGAACAAATGTCTTTGTAAATATGTTTAGAGCTGCATAAAGAATAGAAACTGGTCAGCTTTCCACAGTGAGGTAACAAAGGGAAAATGGCCCGATTACTCAGCACGTTTCATGATTTTTTTAGACAAATACCAATGTATCAGATTTTTTATCATCAACTTTTATTAATCTGCTGAGGAGGGATTATCTTATAGCCCATTGCATGTTACCGGATTCTGCCTTCTACATGTCCAAGAACGCGTTTCGGGTTCTACATTTTTACACTGCATTATTTTCAGTGTCATAACATTTGCCAAAAGTCTAAATTATATGTTGAATTGTGTTCTAAAGCGTTCTTGATAGTTTTGTTCTCCAGTCTGAGTTTTCTTATAGAAGCTGCAGATAAAGGCATTTCTACTTGGACTTGAAGCCTGAGGGACTCCCCAGTGTAAGAATTTGAAGGCTGACTAAGGTACGAGTGATCGCTGAAGACTTTCCTTCATTTGTGATACTGAGGGTGTTTAATACAATGAGAATCCTCACGTGTCCTGGAATGTTACTCTGTGAGGAAAGGGTTTCTCCTGTTTATTTCACTGAAATGCTTCTGGAACATGAATTATCTGGTATTTCTCAAATGGCTTCCTCCTCCTGGTAAAGACTTGCTGTTTTCCTTCTTGTTTTCTGTGTTCTGTGTCTTCAGTGTTCTGTGTCTTCCAAGGCTTGAGCTCTGGCTGAAGGCTGTAGGGTGTCTCCCCCATGGGGACTCTTGTGGAAAGGTTAATGCTGAGGCTGAAGCTTCTACATCTGTTACATGTATGGGGGTTTCTCTCCGGCGTGTGTTCTCATGATGGCTGAGGTCAGAGCATGGGCTAAGGACTTTACCACGAAGATGACATTCATAGAGTTTCTCTGTGGCGCGAACTCACTCACGCTGTTTGAAGGATAAGTTGTTACCGGCGGCATTTCCACACCGATTACAAAGGGTTCTCTGGTGTGAATTCTCTCACAGAAACAAAAGTTAGCTCTGCGGCTGAAGAGTTTGCCACATTCGTTACATTTGTAGGGATTCTCTCCAGCACCACAGACCAGTCAGTAGAGCTGTGGCTATTTCCCCACTCGCATTATATTCAAAGAGCTCTGCTCCAGTGTGAAATCCCTGCTCCTAGCGGGAGAGGAGAGGCTGCTAACGGTCTGCATCCATCCGCTCATCAGTTCATCTGTCCACATGTGGACTCTGTGCTGATCCTTCAGTGATAACCTCCAGTTAAAGTCTTCGCCGCGCTGGCTACACTCACAGGGTGTGATACTCTCCCGTATTGAAGTTCTTCCCTCCGTAGCAGGTCAACTGCACAGCGATCTGATGAATTCTGAGGTCTTCATTACGTTTCAGGCACTCGATATATATGGGCCATGTCTGTGCACATGGCATCTTCTGAGGACTCGGGTTATGGTTTTGAGTTCAGGTTATTCTTTGCCTCCCCAGATTCAAACCATGAGACCTTTCTGCTGAGACAGCACACTTCCTCTCCGCAAAACACTGTAGTTTTAAATTCCGGGCAAATACAGTTGTTGACATGCAAGAATCTGGGCCCTAGAGCCCAAGGGCTGACATTGCCAATGTCAAGTGCGGTGTGATAAGCTCAGAGCTCCCTGAAAGGGACAGAAGACATGTCACTAATAACTCACACACCAGGAAGAGATTACAAGTGCCACAAGAAGAAGCACTTATGGGAAAATATATCAATACTCTCTACCAAAAACTTTGGACAAGGAAGTCTCTCTCTTACTTATTCTTATACTTATACTTATTCTTATACTTATATTGTTATGCTCCTGTCATTTGGCAATGACCATCAAACATCAGCTTGACTAGACTGGGTACAGTTTAAGAATGACTGATTCCAAACCGATGCTCTGTCATCAGTTATTTTAAGAAAATTATTAAAGGGAGGTTTAAGAAACTTCTTGAAGGTGTTTTTAAGATCAACTTTAAAAAGGCAACCAACGCCATTATATATCAAGAAGACTTAATGAATACAGTATTTCAGAATGCCGATCAATACAAGAGCTGAGAGTGTAGAAATGGGGGGTGTAAACAGGGTAGCACCCTTCCATCTGCAGCTCATGAAAATGTCTGTTTAGAGAATTGGAACAGTCTGTCCATCCGCTAGTGGCCTTATTAAGTTCTTTTAAAATGAACCAGGGAGAATCAATTTCTCTAGGCCTGGATGGCACAGATGAGTTAATCTATAAGAAATAAGTCCAAACCAGAAAGAAATAGGGCAAATCAGAATTTCTAACAAATGAGACCCTGGACAGCATTGCTGGGTTTCAGTAAGTGACGCCCTCATTCCTTGGAGCTGTCGTGTTCCCTGAACAGGAAGGCAGGGTGAACATGTGTAGACTGATTCGATTTTATAAACTTATCTAAGAAACCAATCTCCTAATTAAAATTGGCCCGGTGATGGGTATTAAGGAGGGCACAGGTTGCATGGAGCACTGGGTGTTATACGTAAACAATGACTCTCGGAACCCTGCATCAAAAACTAATGATGTACTGTCTGGTGACTAACATGATAACAAATAATAATAATTAAAAAATCAAACATGAGGTCTTAATTAAGACAGAAAATTAAAGCAGGATTAGGATTTTATTGCTAAGAGTGGTGACTAGTAAGAGAGATGATTCTTAATCTGTGTAACAGTATGGAGATACAGCCCAGGATTTTAAACAACAGGTAACTTCCAAGAACTTGGTAGCTGGGGCACACTAGTGTTTACTTGGAGCACTCCCAGCGTCCTCTTCTTCCTGGAGTTGTTCCTCGTATAGTTTATTTACTGTCCTTTAAGAGTTTGTCTTAGAAGAGCAATTAATTTCACTTCAAAATAGCACAGCCATTTAAGAACATTCTGTTTCTTTCCCAGATCAGCGCTTCCCTTGTCGTGACACACAACACCACATCCTGCTTCGTGCCCTGAGTGCTCACAGCACAGCCCAGGTCGGTAACTTGACCCTTCTTCCAGGCAGAGAACTCCCAGGCTGCTGGTGCGGTCATGACTTCATTCATCAAGCATTGTCACATTGCCTCAGACAAAGGAATCCCTTTTATTTTAAAAACGGAATGTTTCTCCGGACCTGAGATTACCTTCCTGGGGTCAAGAAAAGTCCACATGAATAATAAAATACTGTAATTTCAAGTTCTGGGAATACAAGGTAGCTCACGTGCATGAATCTGGGCCCTAGAGCCCAAGGGCTGACAGTCCGGATACTGAGTGCAGTGTGATGAGGGGCAGCCCCCTGGAGGGGACGGAAGACAGCTCCTCACTGGGAAGAGGTTACAAGCGCCCCGAGAAAGCAGTGCCCAGGTCACGCAAGGTCACGTGAAGGAGAGCGTGCCAGGGGTCGGTGGCCTTCACTGTAATTTGTGGCTCTGCTAGACATTTTGCAAATGAACAGACTGATCAGCAGAATCACTACTGGGGTGCACTTCAGTCAGGAAAACCTTACAGAGATCGGGGTACTACAGATAACTCTCCTCAGCTTACTTGCTAATTGAAAAAGAAATGGAGACATTCCTGACAGTACATTTGACTCCTTGAAAAAAAAAAACAAAAAGACCAAACCTCCTAGAAAATGCAAACAGAAACATCACTGGGAAAGATAAAAAAGTAACATGGGAAATATTTACTAATGCTGTTTTGCTTATTACCCAAGTATTTCCACAGTGCCCAACTCTCTCAGTTACATTCATAATCAGTCCCACTTACTAGCATTAGTATTTTTGTTTGCGCGCTATTAGTCTTCTTATTCTTCCTGCCCGGACTCCTGAGTGCTTGTCACATGCCAGGCCTGGCACCTGGCACTAGGAATACGGGGGTGAACGAAACACACCTGGCTGAGACTCTCTTGGAACAATCACACTCATTACGAGGCAACCACAGCTCTGTAAATGATATGAAGGAAAAGCACGAGGTGCTTTCTTGCCTGGGAGCGTCAAGGAAGTCTTTCCTAAAGAAAGGACATTCTTGGTGAGGCTGGAAGGGTGAGTAGGAATAAAGGTGGTGAAGGGAGTGAGGGCTTGAGTGGGAGTGTTTCGGGAAGAGGCAACAACAGGGCCTGGGGGTGTGAGGCAGGGGATAGCATGGTGCAGAGGTGAGGAGAGCAGGGAAACTACACCGGAGCCTTCAGGGTAGGACTTTTAGGACTTTCAAGCAGGGAAGGGACAGACTGACGTTTGTTTAATCTGCTCCCTTGGCTGCTAAGGGGAGTCAAGAATGACCTGGAGGGAGGAAGAAAGCTGCACAGCAGTGGGAGGCTCCCACGTCGCAGTTCAAGTGAACTGGGGTGCTTTCCTGCTTGGAGTGGGGGCAGCAGAGCGAGAGGGCTGTTGTGTGGCTCACGGCATGTTTTAGAAGAGGGAGTCTGAGAACTTGGGGACTGGGTGGGTGTCTGGGTTGGGGGCTGAGGTGTCAAGGATGACTCCCAGCATTCCCAACTAAGGAATGAATGTGCCATTTAGTAGCTGGGAAGATGGAGAAGAGCAGATCCAAAGGCCTGATGATGAGCTGAGTTTGAGATGTCTGCAAAACACGCAGGTAGAGATGTCACACCGGAAGCAGAAAAGGAGGTCTAGAGTTCAGAAGGGAGGTCTAGAGATGCAAATTTGAGGACTGCTGGCAGGGAGATAGCATTTGGAAGTTATGGACAACAGATTTGTGGGGAGGGAGGAGGAAAGGTGAGAGGAGAGGAGAGACTTAGGAACCAAGGACCAAACCTCGAGGGTCACTGATACTTAGCCCTTGCGCAAGAGCTGAACTGCACGCACAAGTAGTTGCATGTCACACCAGGCATCATACTTCATTATCATACTGCATCCTAATCTCAAATTCTAATAAGAATGCATAGACACCCAGTTTAAGATGACTGCATATAACCTAAGTGACATCATTCAGGAGAAATGGGCAAGTTGGTAGGGTCCCCATCACCGATATGAGGCAGGCAACCAGAGGGACAAAATCTGTTTTCTGCCCCCAAAATTCCATAAAATGTCTTCTGTGGGGAAATGTTGCTACTGAGCCTGTGCTGCGTGCTCAGTGTTGACCAAAAGAATCCACTGAGGGGTCGGAGAGAGAAGGACAGCTAACCCTGTAGGAAATCCCGAACCTAGGAGCCACCCGAGACCTGGAGCAGGTGATTGCTGGGAAGGCCCAGAGAGGGCTGGCCAGCCCCGTCTACAGACACGGGCATCCCCGAACCCTGAAGCTCCAGAAAGTTCTTGTTCTACTTCCCCATCATTCGTATTTCCCATGACTGTCCTGAATACCTCCTTCCCTCCAAGCACACAAATCTTTGCTTTTCCACGCGGAGGCTTTGGTCATGACCTGCGACGTGCTTCTCTTATACCTCCATGTCATCAAAACCCACCTCTGATGCTCCTTGATCTCTTCTAGGTGAAAATAATTTCCATCTTCACTATTTCCATAACCAATTATTTGTACTTCTCCTAGCTCTTCAGGCTTTTCACCCTGAGCTACGGTTATTTGGCTATCTAACCTATATTCTAGGCTATAGAGGGCTGTGGGCATGCCTTGCAAGTTTATATTTGAGATCATAACAAACATCAGAGCCAGTGTGGCTCCAACAGAGAAGGAGAGGGCTGCTTAATTCCGAGGCATTTATTTCCCCACGCCACCCCTTTTTAAAAATGTAGGCTCCATACCCAGTGCAGAGCCCAACATGGGGCTTGAACTCACGACCCTGAGATCAAGACCTGAGCTGAGATCAAGAGTTGGACGCTTAACCGACTGAGCCACCTGGGCGTCCTTTGAGGCATTTCTTTTAGCTGTGATTCAGAGAATGATGTTTGCTGGTATGGAAGGAAGAAGGAAAACATTTATTTTCTTTCGTTCCCACAATACCAATATATGGCTCACAGGAACACAGACGGGACGGTTAACTCTGAAATTCTTAAACCAGAGCACATCCAGAATGCTAAATCAGTAAACAAAAGGGCAAGAAGCAATATGATAGTTTCTTCTTCATTAATGGTAGGTGTCCAAAGACCGAGAAAATGGTAATACATTATTTTTAATCTTCTTCCTGCTAGAGGATAGCCATCCCCTGCTGTGAGCTGAGGACTGAAGATGGCAGGCACGTGGACAGTCCTCTTGCTCCAAGGTGGGCAGCCTGCCTACTTGTCTGCTGCCTGCCACAGCTTCACCATCAGCTCCCCAGAATGAGGCTGTCCTCCTACCTTCCCCCAATGGGTTTAGCCTATTCTCTGCTGTCTAACACTTACCAGGCATTAGGCTATTTTAACTACTAGCCCATGATTTGTGTGTCCCTTAAAGATACTGGGAGTCTACTACAGCAGACTTTAAAACTTCATACTACATGTTAATATGGAAGAAAAATCCACACATTTCTAAGCCATATTTGAGGCCAGAAAAGGACTAATAAAATAACAGCCCTCATTGTCACTGTTGGGACTTACCTCTTGGGTAACACAAGGAAGCAACACTGCCAAATTACAAAACTTCACAGCGTTGTCTGTTTGTTCAAGATCGATGTAACACTGGAAATGAAAAACGGTCCGTAAGAAAGGCAAGCACAGTTTTATGTAATGGACTCAAAAGTGATCTTAAAAGAGTGGTCTTCCTGGGGCGCTTGGGTGGCTCAGTCCGTTAAGCATCTGGCTTTAGATTATGGCTCAAATCATGATCTCAGGGTCATGTGATTGAGCCCCAAGGAGGGCTCTGCTCTCAGTGCAGGATCTGCTTGAGATTCTCTCTCTCCCTTATTAAATAAATAAAATATTTTTTTAAAAAAATAATATTTTTTAAAAAATAATATTTAAAATATTATTAAAAAATATTTTATTTATTCATTTGAGACAGAGAGAGCACAAGTAGGGGGAAAGGCAGAGGGAGGGGGAGAAGCAGGCTCCCTACAGAACTAGGAGCCTGAAGTGGGGCTCAATACCAGGACCTGGAGATCATGAACTGACCCAAACACAGGCGCTCAGCCATCTGAACCACCCAGGCGCCCCAAAAAATAAAATTTAAAAACAAACAAACAAACAAACAAACAAAAAACCCAAAAATAGTGGTCTTCCTTACCTTGGCCAAGAACAAGTAATTGGACTTAGAAAAACCAGGGTGTAGTTCTTCAACCTGATTTTAAGAAAAAACAGAAAAGAGAATAATGGGACAATATTAAAACAACCACCACCACCACCAGTAAAGAGGATATATTTCAATAAATCAAATACTAACCAAACTGTCCTAAAAATTTAGGTTGATTGTGTTACATCAGAATCATTTTATCAGTTCAAGTACCTTTTGAGTGGAAATAGAGCTTTTGAGATTATCCATTAAAATGAAGTTATTATTACGTTCATAAAGCTTACGAAAAAATGCGATACTTTGAGGTTTCGGGATTCCTTTGTATAACCTATCCTTTCTCTTTTTCTCCCTTCAAAAACAAAAACAACTGGTGATACACTTTCTCAGGACAAGTCCTATACAATTCACAATCTATTTAGGAACTAAGCAGAGGATGACTGGTATCCCATGACAAGCCTCCACTGCATTAGTATTTGATTTCTTAGGACTTCAACACATCCCATGAGTTGAATCCTATCTGGAGTCCATCGCATCAAGTATTTTTAAAGCAAAGACTGACCCGTGAAACAACTAGTCCAGACCTACGTGCAGATTTTAATAAGTGAGTACGATGGAGACACTTTACTCCTCATCTACTAAACTCTTATGCACCAGTTCCCTTTCTATAGCTCTGGAGAATAAGAATTTCTTTAGGCATCTGGCATGGCCACTAGAAAGCACTTCTTAGAACCTAAGTCAATCTTCGGTCAGGGTCGCCTTCTGCAGTTGCAAGGGCTCATGCAAATTTAAGCCCCCAGTCTGACCCTGGAACCCAACCCAGAGAGAAACATAACCCAACAGAAGAAGGTTACTTAAAAAATTTTACAAAGATATGCTTGTTTTACAAGATACAAATAATATGGACATTTAAAAAATTAAAATGTGAAAGTTTCTTTGTTCTAATTTTATTTTCGATTTCAGTCTCATTCCCCAGGGGTAACCACTATCAACAGTTGGACATGCATCCCACCAGACCTTTTACAAGTACACACAAATTTAAAAAAAAAAATCTGTTTTTGAAAAAAAAAAATTAATATGGGACCATTTCTATGTATTGGTCCAAAACTTTTCTTCCACAACATATCACAGGTACATTTTTGTGTTAACATACACAGATTTACCTCATTTATTTCTTAAGAGCTGTATTTCATAATACACATATGCTGTAATTAAATTAAGAATCCTCTATTAGACATTTTTTTACTCTTACTAATAATGACTGATGAACACATTTGCTCCTGTACACTTGTGCACATGTGGAATTATGTCCGTAAGAGAGATTCATAGAGGTTGAATTGCTGCGTAAAAGGACACATACATTTTAAAGATGGATGCTAATGGAGGGGAATCTGAGACTGAGGCACTCCTGTGCTGAGGAGGGCACATCCTTGGTAAAGGACATTTACTTTCTATAAAATCCAAAAGGTAAGGGTCCCAGGAGGAGGAGGAGGAGGAAGAGAAAGTCTCTTGGGCTGGGGAGCCAGACTGGGTGTAAGTCTTTAGGACCAAATGGATGAACAGTGTGTGGATCTGGCCAAGAGCCTGAGAGTGAGAATACAAGGCTGCCGCCAGATGGAAGGACATTGTCAAGTGCAGTCCTAGTCAGAGCCTTGAAAAGCCCACACGGCCATCCACAGTGCTGTTGGATTCTGGTTCTGTTGCTTCTCTTTTGTCCAATTATTTTCATCTCAACTCTTATTCTTTGAGTCTACTAAGTGCATTTCTTAGATCACTCTAATAAGACCTCACTTAAACTTTGCTCAACTGTACCTTCTTCTATGCCCAACAGTTGCCCGGCTCTGTCCAAATCCTGCCTGGAGAACTTGCTCCAACATATGAGCGTATGCAGCTTCTTTTTCTAATGTTGGCATTTTAATTCCGCATACACACCTTAGCACTTATGTTTAATTAACCTTACTAACTATAAATTAGAACATCTCTTTTTGTGCTCACGGTTAAAAAAAAAGAAGCAGCCCAAGGAACATAGGTTACAAACAATATGAACTTCCTAAAACGGAGCAGATTCTGACTTTTTACCAAAGGGCTTACCTAATAACAAGGAAGGTAGTGTTGCTCAGTAGAATGTTCTAGTTAGGCAGCAGTTTCTAGCTAGGCTTTTAGAACACTCTATAATAATACTCTATAATAACACAGTGATATAATAACAATATACTCTATAATACTATAATGCAATAATAATAATACTCAATAATAATACTGAATATTGTAGTTAACTTGGTCTTGGTTGTACAAGTTCCCTGGAGGCAGGAGCTGTGCTGATCATTTCTGTATCTGTTACCAGCTATGTGGTTAATAAACATTACTGAATAAACCAGTGGTGTTTTAAGAACATCTCATAACCTCAGGCAGCTTCCCTCCATCATATCAGGACACAGATGAAGGCTCTGCAGGTGGTAAAACCACTAAGGGGGGGATCCAGAGATCATATGTTGCAAACAGCAGGGGAGACCAGGGCCACCGATTCCCCAACATTGCTACACCTGCTATCCTACCACACATACTCAAGGCACTGGGTTCTCAACCATGCCATGGGCTGCACAGGAAGAGCTCTGAGAGCTTTAAAAACACTGATCAAGCTTTTAAAATACTTCCCTTATGACTCAAGTCCATTCCTTTTGCTAAGGTAACTTAGCAAAGAAACTTTAAACATTTCTACCTAAAAGCTTGCAAATGAATGTTCATAGAAGCTTTATTCATAATGGCCCTGGTTTACAACCACCTCCCAAGATGCTGTGACACTGAGGAGGATCAGACTTCACCAGTTATAAGAGCAAAATAATAGCAGCTAACATTTACTTTCAGTTAGAGAACTTAAGGTGCTAGATCCTGAGCTAAGAAACTTACATGAACTATTTTACGTATCGTCACAAAAACCATATAAAGTGGGTATTATTACACCTGCTTTACAGATGAAGAATTTAAGATTAAGAGAAATAAAGAAACATGGCTAGGTTATATGGACGGGAAAAGACTTAGGTCTCAAACTGTCTGATTCTAATGCCCGTGCTCCAGATCTCTACAGGACTGAGCTGGATGGCCTGGGGACACATTCCTGGCCCCTGTGAACCTCTTTGCGGGGACAGAGTTGGGGACAGGAGTTCTACAGTCTGGGGTCCAAAACCCCAACCTGCTGCTGGGACCAAGGGTTGTGGACTCCCCTTGGGTACGGGATCGAAGTTCTTTCCCCTCCACCCCGCAGTGTTCTTACTTACCCCAGCCTTCGAACTTAGCACCTTGGGCTCCTCAGGACCCTTCGCTGTGGCAGTCAATACAGGGAGAAGCTTTCCTTATGCCTTCTCACTCCCTCAACAAATACCACAAAATGCATTTTCAGACAGAATTTAAGTCACGACTGAATGGTGAGGTCCCCAAGATGGTTGGCCAAGGTATATACAATTTAATGGAGTTAAAATTCTATGACCGTTATTGGGCTTACTAGGTACAGGGCACTCTCTAAGCAATTTCCTTGTATTAACTTATTGAATCTTCACAACTATGCTATGAGTCAGGTACTATTATCTCCATGTCATTGATTAAATGGAGAGAGAAGTTAAGAAACCAGTCCAGCGTTAATCAGTTGGTAAGTGGCAGAACTGAGATTTAACCAGGTGGTCTGGTTAACCAGAGGTAAGGTTGCAGAGGTAAGGTTGCAATCCTTACCTCTACATTATTGGGCCTCTGATCATTTATTTTATCTGGGTAGTATTTTGAGTACATTAGCACCTGAAGAACTTCTGTGCAACATCCTGAAAACCTGAGCCCCCATTTATAACTTTGATACTATGAAGAAATGAGTTTCAAGTCCAAATGACATTTTTCCTAATTAGCTTAGCACCTTCTATGAATTATCTTAAATATACCATGATCTATATTCTTATAAAATATAAAATGAAAGAACTAATTCTCAGTGGTAGATAAAAGATGTGAAGACACAGCCTTAGACTACATGCATATTTTGGCCTGCCACTGTGTGACAGTAGAAAAAATTAAGTTCCTTGCTTTCCTTTTTTATAAAATAAAAAAGATCACATTAAATAAAAAAATAAGACATGTTTGGCCCCTGTGCTTTTATACCCTGCACTCTTTTCTAATGGGCTCATGCTTGATCTCAGAACACTTATTTTTTCCACAGGGCGTTGTAGGTAGCCGCTAACCATTCAGTCAGAAATGGAAAGTGCAATGAAATCTGTTGAATTCCCTCTTCGTTCTACAAAATCAAACCCTAAGATACAACAAAAAAGTATGAGCATGTATATGTTGGACAATACAGTTTAGAGCCTGATTTTTGTCTACATTGTTACAAATCTGAAAAGGTAAATAAGGAAAGAAAAGGCATCTGAGTGTCTGTAAGATTCTATAATTGCTCCCAGAGAAAGATAAAAGGATGAGCCCACCAGGAACTTGATTATATACACACACACGTTATTACTGTTTAGAGTTTTATCAACATTGCAATTATACATTTTAAGACAGGAATGAAAATACTGGTTTGATCTGATGCCCTGTGTTCCATAGAACTGTCTGCAACTTATGGAAAATAATAACTTTCCTCTTTGATATCTTTTAGTTCTTCAAGATTAAATTGCTTCTGTATTAGGCTAATTGGGAGTATTTTGGAACAAGTCTAATAATCAGGGCATGAATGCTTTTGTACATACTCACACGACCCAGAGAGCAACTCCTGGATTTGGTAGCAAGGGTTGTGCCCCTAGGACCTAAGACATAACTAACTGCTCTAGGAAGCAGTCTGGACACCTCAAAACTAGGATTCAACCTGGGGCTTTTGTTAGAGATCTACGCATGGAGAAGCATAGGAGGGATTGGTGCAGGTTGGAGCCAGTCTGATACTAAAATAACAGACAGACAAAATATACCTTAAGGAAATTTTGCAAAGCTTCTTCTACAGTTGAGGATGGTATTTTTCCAAACAGAGTAGCGGCCATCTTTTTCTCAATCCAGCTCAGTTTTGAGACCTGCAAACAGGGAGGCGACATCATTCTTAGAAAGTTGATCAACTTTTGAATCAATCGTCTCTCCTCAGACATGCGTGTCCAGGTGTATATGAATGTATATGCATAGAATATATAAATATAAACATCTCCATAAGTAACATATATGACAGAGATCATCTTTACGGTATTAATATTTTACCTTCCCTTTTTTATAGTTCTAACAAACCGTGAGCTCTAAAAGCACTGGTTACCAAATCAATCTGAAATACTCACGGTAAGATTTGTGTTCAGACAGAGAAAGGGATGTGGAATACTGCTGATCCTGTTTGTTTATACGATTCAAGATTCTGAGATGACCACACAGTATTACTTTTTTTTTTTTTTCCCCCACACAGTATTTCTTTTCAGAGTGTAGGACCTACCAGTCCCCACCTTGGGTTCCTTCCTGCCTACTCCCTGCGGCCAACCTGACCCAGAACACAGCATCTCAGAAATGTAAATAGAACAAGGATCTTTAACCCAGAGGGAGTACAGAGTGAGGGCCCAGGATACATATTCACAATTCAGGAGAAAATTTTTTTAACCAATAACCACCAAAATCAAAATTCATATTATCATTTATTCTTTGCTTCCTCCCCCCCATTTTAATTCCAATGTAGTTAACATACAGTGTTCTGTTCTTCTCAGGTGTACAATACACTGATTCAACAATTCTGTATGTCACTTGCTGTTCTACAAGAGAAGTGTGCTCTTCGTCCCCTTTGTCTTTCTCACTCACCTCACCCCTGATAACCAGCTACTTATTCTCTGTAGTTTAGAGTCTGTTTTTTGTTTGTCTCTTTTTAGTTCCCTTATTCATTTGTTTTGTTTCTTATATTCCACACATGAGTGAAAGCATATGGTATTTGTCTTTCTCTGACTGACTTATTTTGTGGTATAGTGATTATAGTTTAATATATAATTTATATATATTATATATAAATTATATAAACTATATATATAAAATTATATATAATTAATATAAATTATATATATAATTTATAATTTTATATATAAAAATTATATATACATATAAACTAATATAGTTTAATATATAATGTATAGTGATTATAGTTTAATATATAATTTATATATATTATATATAAATTATATAAACTATATATGTAAAATTATATATAATTGATTAATATAAATTATATATATAATTATTTAAAATTTTACGTATAAAATTATATATATATATATATATAAACTAATATAGTTTAATATATAATATATTTTGCTTAGCATTATAGTCTAGTTCCAATCCATGTTGCTGCAAATGGCATGACTTCATTCTTTTCTATAGCTGAATAATATTCATTCATGTGAATGAATAATATTCATTCATACTATACCACTTCTTTATCTATTCATCTATTGATGGACACTTAGGTTGCTTCCATAATTTGGCTATTGAAAATAGGTTACAATGAACATTGGGGTCCATGTATCACTTCGAATTAAAGTTTTTGAATTCTTTGTGTACCCAGTAGTGTGATTACTGGATCATAGGGTAGTTCACCAGTTTCCATTCCCACCAATGGTGCACAAGGGTACCTATTTTTCTACATCCTCACCAATACTTGTTATTTCTTGTGTTTTTGATTTTAGGCATTCTGCTGGATGTGAGGTTATATTTCATTGTGGTTTTGATTTACATTTCCCTGACAATGAGTGATGTTGAACATCTTTCCAAATGTGTCTGTTGGCCATCTGGATGTCTTCTTTGGAGACATATCTGTTCATTCTTCTGCCCATTTTTAAACTGGATTATTTGAGTGTTGAGTTGTATCAGTTCTTTTACGTATTTTGGACACTAATCTTTTATTGGATACATCAATTGCAAATATCTTTTCCATTCAGTAGGTTGTCTCTAGTTTTGTTGGTTGTTTCCTTTGCTGTGCAGAAATGCTTTATTTTGATGTAGACCCAATAGTTTATTTTTGCTGTTTTCTTTGCCTCAGGAGACAAATCTAGAAAGACGCTGTTATGGTCAGTGTCAGAGAAATTACTATCGATGCTCCCTTCTATGATTTTTATGGTTTCAGGCCTCACATTTAGGTCTTTAGTCCATTTTGAGTTTTTTGGTATATGATGTAAGAAAGTGGTCCAGTTTCATTCTTTTGCATGTAGCTGTCCAGTTTTCCCAACACCATTTGTTGAAGAGACTTTTTCCCATTGTATATTCTTGTCTCCTTTGTTGAAGATTAAGTGACCATGTAATTGTGGGTTTACTTTTAGGCTTTCTATTCTGTTCTATTGATCTACAAGTCTATTTTTGTGTAAGTAACATACTGTTTTGATTACTTGTAATATAACTTGAAACCTGGAATTGTGATAACACCAGTTTTGTTTTTCTTTTTCAAGATTGCTTTGGCTATTTGGGTGGTTCCATACAAAGTTTAGGATTGTTTGTTCTAGTTCTGTGAAAAATGCTGTTGGTACTTGACTAGGGATTGCATTAAGTCCATATATTACTTTGGGTAGTATAGCCAGTTTGACAATATTTGTTCTTTCAATCCATAAGCATGGAATGTCTTACCATTTCTTTAGATCATCTTTAATTCTTTCAACAATTATTTTATAGTTTTCAGAATACAGGTTTTTTACCCTTTGATTAAGTTTATTCCTAGGTATTTTATTATTTTTGTAATTGTAAATGGGATTGTTTTCTTAATTTTTCTTTTTGCTTTTTAGAAATGCAATGGATTTCTCTACATGGGGATTTTCTATCCTGTGAGCTTACTGAATTCATTTATCAGTTCTAGTAGTTTTTTGGTGTCATCCTTAAGGTTTTCTATATATAGTATCATCTCATCTGTGAATAGTGAAACTTTTACTTCTTACCATTTTGGAAGACTTTTATTTCTTCCTCTTATCTGATTGCTATGGCTAGGACTTCCAGTACTATGCTGAATAAAAGTAGTGAGAATGGACATCCTTGTCTTGTTTCTAATCTTAGGTGAAAAGCTCTCAGTTTTTCACCATTGAGTATAATGTTAACTGTGGATTTTTCACATAAGGCCATTATTATGTTGAGGTATGTTCCCTCTAAACCAACTTTGTTGAGGGTTTTATCATGAATGGATATTGTACTCTGTCAAATGGTTTTTCTGCATCTATTGAAATGATCATATGGTTTTTATCCTTTCTCTTAATAATGTGATATATCACACTGGTTGATTTGCAAATACCGAACCACCCTTGCATTCCAGAAATAAATCCCATTGATCACAGTGAATGATTTTTGAATGTATTGATGGATTTGTCTTGCTAATATTTTGTTGAGGATTTTTGCATCTATGTTCACCAGAGATATTAGCCCGTAGTTCTTTTTGTTGTTTGTCTTTATCTAGTTTTGAAACCAGGATAATGCTGACCTATTAGAATGAATTCAGGAGTGTTCCTTCTTATTTTATTTTTTGGAAAAGTTTGAGAAGAATAGATATTAGCTCTTCTCTAAATATATGATAGAATCACCTGTGAAGACATCTGGACTTTTTTGGTTGGGAGTTTTTTGATTATTGATTCAATTTCATTGCTGGTAATTGGTCTGTTCAAATTTTCTATTTCTTCCTCTTTCAGTTTCAGTAGATTATATGTGTCTATGAATTTATCCATCTCTTCTAGGTTGTCCAGTTTGTTGGCATATAATTTTTCATAATATTCTCTTATAATCCTTTGTATTTCTGTGCTGTCAGTTATTTCTTCTCTTTCGTTTCTGATTTTGTTTGAGTTCTTTTTTTTTGGATCAGTCTGGCCAGCGATTGATCAATTTTGCTTATCTGTTCAAAGAGTCAATCCTAATTTCACTGATCTGTTCTATTTTCTTTCTTTCTTTCTTGTTTCAATATCATTTATTTCTGCTCTAATCATTATTTCCTTCCTTCTGCTGGATTTGGGTTTTGCTCTTTTTTTTCAGCTCTTTTAGGTATAAGGTTGGGTTGTTTGAAATCTTTCTTGCTTCTTGAGGTAGGCCTGTGTTGCTATACACGTCCCTCTTACAATCACTTGTGCTGCATCTCAAAGATTTTGGATCATTGTGTTTTCATTTTCATTTGTCTCCATATATATTTTTTTATTTCTTCTTTGATTTCTTGGTTGATCCATTCATTGTTTAATTGCATGTTATTTAACCTCTGTGTAGATGTGGTCTTTCCGGATTTTTTCTTTTTTTTTTTAGATTTTTAAAATTTATTTGACAGAGAGAGAGATGACAAGTAGGCAGAGAGGCAGGCAGAGACAGAGAGAGGGGGAAGCAGGCTCCCCGCCGAGCAGAGAGCCCGATGCGGGGCTTGATCCCGGGACCCTGGGATCATGACCTAAGCTGAAGCCAGAGGCCCTAACCCACTGAGCCACCCAGGCGCCCCCAGATTTTTTCTTTTAAGCCTAAACAAATAACGTACATTCAAGCCCCAGACTCATGTGAGGTTGGGTCAATGGTTTTTAAGCCTGTGGAGTCTTGTACCTTAATGAAGACTCAGGTTCTCAATATCTAAAACTGGCACAATAAAAACTGCTTACAGAGCTGTTTCAAGGATTAAAGGGGATAAGAAATACAAAGTATAAACTGCACATTTGATACATAGCAGGTGTTCAATAAAAGAGCTTCCTTCTCCATTCCTAAACCTCAAACCACAATTAAAAAGCTTCCTCTTTTGCTTATGCTAATTTCCTCATTCAGAAATAGCATTTCTCTTCAGCATAATTTTTCATGCATCTCTTAAGATAGATTTTCACATTCTGTTAATTTTCTATAAACTAATGTCATTTAAGACACTGGATCTCAGACTCGCCAGCTGTCTTGATTTATTTCTGTATGTTTCAAGTGTCTTTCTAAATTCAGTTCTTTGAAGACAAGAACAGTGGGCACATAATTTATGTTCAACACACTGATAAATGAAACAGTCCTCTCACAAAACAAAGAGTAGTACACCAACACAGAGCACATGCCTATAGGAGGCTGACCAACAACTGAGAGCACAAAGGGGACATGTGATTGCTGCCAGGGGAAACAGAGAGGGGGTCAGGGGAAAACACAGATATATATGTGTATATAAAAGTTACATACTGTATGTAACACAGTATACAAACAAATCAATCATACATTCATAAAATAGGTACTGATTTTATCATTTTCCCTACAGTAGGCACTAGGTAAAACACTTAAAGAAAGAATAAGTCACTGGAAATATATCCCATAATCATAGTATATTTAAACAAGACTTATAGATAGAAACATTCAGCTCACAGTATAACAGTATCTTCCTTTGAGGTAATACAAAAAGGGTTCTTCAGGTAAAAATTGGATTGCTTTATCTAGATGTTCCTGAAAGAAAAACAAAACAAATACCATCTCTCAGATTTCAGGCAGTGATGAATGGAAGTGTGCCTAGTCAATTCAAAGGGGCTTTACAGTGTTGTTTGGTCCTCCTCCTCAATCCTTAGCATTAATACAAGTAAGTCTTACCAATAATTCAATTTTTGGGAATGACTGCCCGCAACTAGAAAAAGACTGTGACTATGATTTAATTAAGCAATGGATAATTTAAAGCCAAATGTCACTATAAAGATAGAAAACGTCCAAGTGACATTTTTGTCTGCCCATGTCTTGCCTAGCTAGTACTTACCATTCGGAAGCATCCTTGCAAATATCAAATGATGGGGATATGACGAGAGAAAGAAGAGCAGAACTAGGTGATGGAGGGACCTACTCCCCTGACGTTATTATAATGGCTATAAGGAGCTGGAAGACAAACCCTGACCACTTGTATTGAGCTATCAAAGCTACAGGCACATTATAAACAATGCACCTGTACATTATCTGTTTTATTCACTCATCATGTGAAGTTTAAGCCTTCAATTGGATTCTACTCCTCCTGCCACATCAATATGCAAGAAATGTTAACTAATCAGTCCCCATCATGTTGATGATATTGGTGAGTTCATGACCAAAAGACTAATCCTCAGTCTTTGAACAAGTAATACTCGTCTACTATGTGACTACTTTCAAGTTCCAGAATAATAATATTCTTCAAATTCCCAAGTAGTTTCATTCTTTTTTGTGTGGTACAATGTAAAGACTGTTACTTCATTTAAATAAAAAAGATAAATTCCTTGAGATTAATTCATTGAATAATTTGATTTATATCTTTTAAGGAAACAGATAGGTCCATTAAAATATTTTTAATATCAAGAAATACCTTGAAGCGATGTCCATAGTTGATTTTGTTTTGTAAGCCCTCAAACTCAGATACATAGCCACACAGAACCGCATACCTGAAAAGAATAAAAACAGTGGAGAGCGTGTGAACTTTTAATCAAATACCATCAAATATAACATTTTGAAAATATTTCTAAAGCATTTATTAATATTTGACAGAAGTATTCATATAGATGCAAGGGCATCTTTATGAAGATAAAAGAAAATGAAATGAAAAAAATAAAATGCAAAATAAAAAAAATACCTGACATGAACATGAGGCCAGTTTCCTCACCTATGACAAGGGGAAAATAACACCATCTCATACATCCCATACGTATGCCAGAACACCTCGAACACATAATTGCTTAGAATACTACCTGCCACATAGTGAGTTCTGAGAAATAGGAGTTGCTGCTATCACCATCATCAACATCAAAGTCACAAAGAGGCTCTCTGAAGAAGTCTAGTCACACAGGTAATAAATTGAAAAATATATTGTATCATCATATCCCTGCTCCTCCTTAATAAAAATAAAAATAAAAATTTCACAGCCTCCCTTAATGTCATTTGAAAACAAAAATAAATACCATGACTAAAACAAAATCAAAGGTAGTTTCAGAATACACTTTTCCGAAAAATTCCCCATGACCTTCGATCCTTCCTTGAAACACTGCAACCTAGAATAGCGTATCCCATGAATTGTTCACTTTTTTTTCCCACTGGGAATACAAAAGTTACATCAATAATTATTTGACATAAATTGGGTGTGATACTTGTTCAGCAACTTGCTCACTCTGAAATCTGGGGATGTGTTACTCTTTATATCAGAGTGTTTCTGTCTGAGGCAAAATATTCACTTACCTAAATATTTCAAGAGTAAGCATTAATTTTTACTTGTACTGTCATAATTGAAATGAAAGATGTAATTTTGGGTATTTATCTTGATCATTCCTGTAGATTAGCATAACTTTCAAGTACAAAAACGAAGTGAACAATTTTCTTAATCTGGAACAGGAAGACCCTTCCTGAACACAAAAGATGACATAATTCACATAACTTATGACACCAACAAAACAGTCACTTTTCAGTTACGATTTGTTTGACCTCTGAATTTGCAGTTTCCATATAATCAACCAAATCTGCTATAGGAGAAACAAGAATGACAACTAAATCAACCTATCAAAAGTAATCTGAGAGCCTAACTAGATTAGGAGATACTACTACTCACAAATTCTATCATCAGACTACATTACACACAGCTCTCTGCACCCACCAGACACCGAGCATGGAGGAAAAGATTACTGGAGAAAGACTCATGAGTTTCCTTGTAAAACTGCTACTGTCACCTCCAGCCTCACCAGGGTCTTTTGAAATGCTCTCTGTCATTTTGTTCTATCATTCCTCCCAGGGAGTTCCAGAAAGTGGAGCAGAATTCCATACATCTATTTCCCCCAATGCTCCCATTTTTTTAATGGGCATTATCATTTTCTGATTCACTTGGACTTAAAACCTTAGGCCACTTTAAAAAAAGTAAGTTTTTATTTTAAAATAGCCTGAGATTTATAGGAAAGTTGCAAAGATGGTACAGAGAGTTCCCATACACCCATATTCTGTTTTCTCTCCTGTTTACATATTACATTACATTTTTGTACTGTTTTTTGTACATTTTGTACTGTTTACATATTACAGTACATTTATCACAAGTCTACCAATTCTGTCAAGCAATACTGATACGTAATTTTTACAATGTACCAATAGTAATACATTATTATTAATGAAACTCCAAGCTTTATTCAGATTCTCATGTTTTTCCCTAAGTCAAATGTTGACACTTTTCTCTCCATCCCTCCTTCCACATTTATACCTGTTAACTCACACATGTGAAAATCTTTTGAATTACTTTTGTCATTCATCATACATCCTCTTCTAGTTTCATGTTACTTGCAACTTTTATAAACGTACCTATTCTATCTTTACCCACTGACAAAATTACAGAACACACCAGTGTCTAAGATACAGACCTGGAACCCTAGAATCACCTCCAGATTGACAGTGATGTTGCCAACAGTTATTCTGTTGAGTAGCTAAGGCTTGAAACCTTCTCTCTATGTGGGTAACCCAGAGACCTCCCCACATTTCTGCATCTTGTCCATAAGAACGTTGTAAGTAAACTTACATTAATGCCTTGCTTAAATCCAGATGTACCAGCTCAATTTCCCTACTCTACATGCTGGCAAAGAAATAAAAAACAAATCATGTCACATATTTAGAAAAATCTGTTTGAACTTTCTCATCCAGAGATTTATAGAAAAACCCAAATATTTGAGCTGGACTCAAAAGAAAAGAATCTATGTTCGCTGATCTAGAGTGCTGGGATCAATCATCTATTCCGTTAAACGTCAGCATCAGAACAACTCCATGCACAGCCCTAGGCATCGACACTGCTCTCTCAGCATGCTCTCTCCAAGCTACTCTGAGTGAGAAAGAAAGGGAAAAAAAACCCTCTATGACTTATGCATATTTCATATAATGAATATATGCATATTTCATATAATGAACACCATTATATGAAATATACATATTTCCCTTATAAATAATCAGTCTTAATGCTTTTCACAATCTTTTTTGAAGTCTGTTTCTTTCTTTCTTTCTTTTTTATCCCCCTGAGCTGAGATCAAGAATCGGATGCTTAACTGACTGAGCCACCCAGGCACCCCTTGAAGTCTGTTTCTTCAAAGTCTAAAATATTGCTTATCTTCCTACATATTCTAAGTTCAAAGTTCACCTGACCTCAAAGGATCATCACTTCTTTTTTTGGCAATCAGTTCCACTTATGTCTCTGTATGTCTGCGTGTTTTTGTTCTTTTATGCTGTTCATCTTTAAACATGTAATTTAAAACGTCTCAAGTTGATGGGAACGCTGAAGAACGGTAATTCACAACATGGTCCATTACCTCCATCTAGAGGTCATTCTCACAGTACATACTTTGACAAAAATTCCGATTTTCTTTGCATTGATATTGAATATATCTTTAATAAATGACATTCCTGCTTTAACTACTAAAATTACCCCATTAGTTTCCCTGCATACTTCTTATTCAGCACAAATGCTATTTACACTGTAGGAAAGCAGTAGAAAAATAATGTAAAAGGAAAAAATATTGAGTATCTAGGAATAAGAGATCTGGTTGTTGTTTTTCTATTTATTGTGTGACTCTTGCTTACTAATCAGCATATACCCCCCACAACAGACGCCCTAAACACACTACCTGGCTTATCCTTATCTATAAAGTGGAAACAGGTTGCTCTGTGACTCGAGTGCTGTAAACATTTAGATATACTTTGTGAACAGTAGAGCACAACAAATATGTAAGACATTAGTTGTAATTAAGGTCAGGCCTATTGGGCTAACAAACTAAATCCACAGTGATTTTACTCTCTCGGTTCTAGAAGTATTTTAGACTGGATACAACAAAAACAACAGAATTTGTAGCAAACATTCTAGGCTTTGGGGTCAGACAGCCAAGGTTGCAACTATTAAACTTCACTGCTGTGCACAAATGCATAGGTGTGGCTGTGGGCCAATAAAACTATTTACGAAAATAGGCAGTCGGCCCCAGACTGTACTTTGTCATTTATGCTGAATGAATGAGAAAATGTCTCAACATCCCAAAAAAGACTTTTTTTTTTTTTAAAGATTTTATTTATTTATTTGACAGACAGAGATCACAAGTAGGCAGAGAGGCAGGCAGAGAGAGAGAGAGGGGGAAGCAGGCTCCCCGCCAAGCAGAGAGCCCGACGCGGGGCTCGATCCCAGAACCCCGGGATCATGACCTGAGCCGAAGGCAGAGGCTTCAACCCACTGAGCCACCCAGGCGCCCCCAAAAAAGACTTTTTATGATATTTTTATTACAATTAATTATGGAATCAGTTAACCTAAATTTTAACCACTGCTTCTCAAGTCAAACTTTTAATTTCTTTTATCATTACCCTAAGCCTCTACTATTTAATTGAATGAAAACTCTTGTATTCACTACATACAATATAATATATTCTAAGAACTAAGATAAAATTGACATTTGAATTTATCAAATTTTACCAACTGATTAGATTTTAACTTTTTTAAAAATTTAAAACTGATACTGAACATGACATGTGCAACACAGTTGGATGACTACTCTGTGTGTGTGTGTGTATAAGATTTAAACTTGGAGTCAAATACCATAGTTATAAACAAGGCAATCTGTTCACAACAAAAAGTGAAATAAGATGAACAAAAGCAAAGAAGCCGGACTAATGTACAGCAGACCCGGTAGATATGAGGGCAGAGTTCCGGATAATTTCTTCTTACAAGACAGATGTCAAGGTACTTATGTAGCCCCCAGGGAAGACTTATGAAAATTCCTCTATGAAAATTTGAAGCTTACATAGATAAATGCCCTCAAGTTGAGGACTGAAATCCACTGTATATTTTAAGTGTGATTTTTCATGGACGCAGATCTATGTGTGGGAGAAGGAAAAGGACAACAGAGGAAGAGCAATGCAGCGGGAGGGAAATGAGGAGCAGCTCAGAGTTAAGAGTAAGTAGGGCTTTGGGGTTCTTTCTTCACCTAAACCTCGTCAACCAGCTCCCAAACCTCCAGTATCAAAGGAGATGAAGAGTGTGTGTCTTGATCAATACAAATTCATTACAGTTATGACTAAAAGTAGAAGAACAGAAGTACCTTAATGCATTCCTATGTTCATTTATTAATACTGATGTAAAAATTAGATGAGAAGGTCTATTTGGCTGTAGAAATGATAGCCAAGACCCTTACTTACTGGGGAAATGATCTTAAAGATAGTACCAGGAAGTTAACTGCAAAACTGCCTTTCTGCTAGAGTTGTGGCAGAGGGACCAGGGGCATAGAACAATACTTCACTTTAGGTGCTCCAATTCCTAAAGCCAGAAGCTCTACTGCCCGTGCATGACACCTTAAGGAAATGACTGACAGGTTCTGCTGGGCTCTGCCCTGAGCCCTTCTCCAGGCTATAGAAGAGAAGGTAAAGAAGGATTCTTGCAGATAGGTGGACAGTGGGCTCTGACTCCCACCTTCTCATGGAAGGGGGCAGGAGGGAGGCTTGCACCTCATCTTAAGCCAAGTGAGAGCAGATCAAAAGACCTGTTTTTACTTTGGCCTATGTCCCTTAGGGGACATAAAAAAATGTCCTTGACTCCTAAGCAGAGAAGCTTAAAGATGAGCGTGTGGGTGGAGCTCCCCCTGCTGGTGGCGGAGTAAAGAAACAGCTCTGCTTTGAGAAAATGGGTCTGCATTTCAGAGTTAGCCAGTGGAATGAAAATGAATTTCCTGCGGGACAAATGTGGACCTGCAGAAAGGGAGCCATTGTGAGAGAGATTTTGCCTAAAAGTGCTCCAGAAGAATAAAAATAATCCCGAAGAGCGGTAGGTTTCTGGAAACCTAGGTCTGAGAGAAGGGTCATAAATTAACTTACTATTGTTATCTTCCTAGCACCTGAAGTACCTGTATTGCTGTAAGGAACTAAAAGATGTTGTAAAAATGCAACCACAGGGGTGCCTGGGTGGCTTGGTGGGTGAAGCATCTGCTTTCTGCTCAAGTTGTGATCTTGGAGTCCTGGGATCCCTGCTCATCAGGGAGTTTCCTCTGCCCCTCACCCTGCTCATGCTCTTTCTCTCTCTCTCTCAAATAAGTAAAAAAATAAAATCTTAAAGAAAAAATGCAACCAAAGAGTGTTAATTTAAAACAATATATTTCTTATTTGTGTTTTATAATTCTAAACATACAAAGGATCCAAAACAAAATGCATTCAAGAATAAATTTGTTTCCCCAAGGATATTCACCTACCCAATGAATTAAATTCCCTTTGTTTGAGCTTTCTTATATTCCTTATATTAAAAATGGCTTCTCTTTGACATGTAGGATTTGTACACATGGACTCATTAAGATAAAAGAAATGAGTGACAGTCTTTTATTCTTTGAAGCACTCTTCCTACATTTCATTTAGAAACATGGTATCAATTCAATATTTGTTTTCAAACAAAACATTAAATTATATTTAATTAGAATTTATCACATTCAAAGGCACTGCACTTGGTAGATTCACCTATGAAATCTTCAGTGAAAGTTTACTTTGAATATATTAAAATATACATACTATAAAATACACGAGAATAAAAACAGTTACTGTGCTATCCACTAAATATATTTTTCAGTGAATGTGACAGGTGAAACAGGTCAATAATATCTTAAAAATCAATTGTAACTTACAGAGAGGCATATGAAGGTTTAAAAAGACTACAGAAGTTCTATGTACTTACCACAGATGACAATGTCCATTCGTGGGTGCTCTAGTGATAGCTCTCTCCCCTAATGTCTTTCCTGAAAGACAAATGTACTTACAGTTAGTACTTTCACGTGAGTTGGTGGAGGAGTAGATTATTGAATTAAGTCAGTGGTTCCGAAAATATGGTCCCAAGACTGGAAGTATCACCTGGGAACTTGTTAGAAAAGTGAATCTGGGACTACAAGGGAGAACTCATTCCCTAACAAAGTCTGGGCTCAGCAATCTGTCTTAATTAGCCTCTAGAGATTCTGCTGTATGCTCAAGTTTAGGTCCACTGGACTAAGTGATGGAACCAAGTGCAAGAAAAGTCATTTGATCATTATTTGAAAGCAAAGAAAATGGATGCAGAAACTAAAAGCAAGATGAAGAAAGAGAGAGCGAGGCAGAGGACAGAGTGCTAACTCCATCTAAAGGGAAGGCTTCCCAGGGAACAGGCTCTGTACATAAATAATCATTCCAAATAATTTCCCTTAGTTTTAGGATCGCTTTTCATAATGTCATAATTGCTTTGGATAGAGGTTTGTCTATTGGCCTGAAAAGTCAAAACATTTGTTACAAAACTGAACATTCTGAAAATTCTTCTCTAAAAGGGGCTGCTTTGTCTTGTGCCATCTCCTTTTCCCCTGCTCCATGTTTTTGCTGTTGCCTTGAAGAGAATATCCAGGGATCTGTGAAATGCTCTTCAAATAAGTGGTTGAGATAATCTTTATAAATAAGGATCTTTTATTCTAAAACCATTCTATTTGTTAATGTTAAGGTGGTACACTCTGTATTTGATAGCTCTATCCATGAAGAAAACCATCCTGTGTAGAAATCTACCAAAACCAGAAAAAATTACAAAGTGAAGTGTTTTAATACTGACATTGAATCGTAGACATATATTTAAAATCATTTTTAAGTAAATGATTGAAAAGCAGTTTTAAACATACATTTAAATATTAGAAACAAAATCAATTATTTTACCTCCTTGGCCAAATGAGCAAAAATAGCTTTGAGTGCACAACCACAAGCCTGAAATAGAGTCCATTACCCTGAGACTAGGAAAGGACACTTGGTAGTAGGCAGGCGAGTTCTGTAGCCTCACTGATGCAGCAGAAGTTCGATAGGAAAGCTGTTTTCCTTAGGACATCATACTTTGTGATCTATTTGAGACACTTACATTGGTCTTTTAATTCTGACAATTTAATAATGTTCCTTTAGAGATAAGATTCATATTTTGTTTGGAAGACAAATTATGATCAGAGTACTTCAAAAGAGGCCTGTGTAAGGCTCCACCCCAGCGAGAGGGCACGGAAAGAATTCTGCACTCCTCAGCCATCACATTTTCCCCTGGCACAGCAACTTTATTTTTTATTTTTTTTTTAAGTTTTTATTTATTTATTTGACAGAGAGGGAGAAAGCACAAGTAAGTGGGGTGGGGGGCAGGCAGAGGGAGAGGGAGAAGCAGGCTCCCCACTGAGCAAGGAGCCCTTTGTGCGGGACTAGATTCCAGGACCTTGGGATCATGATCTGAGCCAAAAGCAGACTCTTAACGGACTAAGTCACTCAGGCACCACCTCCCGCACCATTTAAAAAAAAAAAATTTAAATACGCTATTATAGGGAATAACATTCAGTACTTCCTCTTCCCTCATGTGGAGCTCCAGTGTCCTCCAACGCTGGTCTCAGCTCAAGCCTATTTTTGTCATTGCCTTTCCCAGGTACTCACTACCTGAACCCTGAAGTATGATGGGCTGCCTCAATGTTGATCTTTCTAGCAAGTTCCTTAATGTAGCATCATCTTAATCACATTCACCTCCCTTTTCTCTCCCTTCTCTCTCACCCTCCACCCCTCATTTTAACATTGTTCCTGGACATGGTAATTTCCAATAAATACTTCTTAAATGGAGAGGAAAAAGAACTATTTTTTAATATATTTCAGTATCTGAATGAATGCATTTGAGGCTTTCGCTCCTTTTCCATGACATCATAAATGTTTCTTTTTAAAATAGATCCTATTCCAATCTATGTTTCATTTTTGTCCCCCAATTTCCTCCAGCCCATTTCTTTTTCCATTTTTACCACCTCATTCATTAACTCAAACTTCTACTACATTTAAGAATAGAGATCCCAAGTAATTTCACCTATGAGAGACTCTTACTTCCCCAGGAAAGCCTTCCCTGCCTCGACCCCCCAGCCCCTGCCATCATATCCTTGCTGTTATTACTCTTAAAGTCCTGCATTCTCTTTCCTCACAATGGCTTTCCATCTGTTTCCTTTTATGTACGGTTATTTCAATAATACTGCTTCCCCAACAAAGCCGTCGGCTCGTCTAGGGTCTGAGAACATGTGATTTTGCTATCATTTCTACTTCCTATCACACACAGGAGGAATCTCGATGCCCAGGGTAGGGCAAGTGCATACAGGAAATAAAAAGTGTCTGATACCGATGAATGTTGAAACAGTTTACATGGATATCCCGTGACTTTCTCAGTAGATACAAACACAAATCAGTTTTTTCTCTTTGTGCAAAAGTCACTGGAGGAGGAAATCTACAAATGGAAGGAATGTAATTACAAGGAGTTTGAAGATACTACCTTCTTAGAAATTAAAATGACAGTGGGGGCGCCTGGGTGGCTTAGTGGGTTAAGCCTCTGCCTTTGGCTCAGGTCATGATCCCAGGGTCCTGGGATCAAGCCCTGCATCGGGCTCTCTGCTCAGCGGGGAACCTGCTTCCCTTCCTCTCTCTGCCTGCCTCTCTGCCTACTTGTGATCTCTGTCTGTCAAATAAATAAATAAAAACTTTAAAAAAAATAAATAAAATGACAGTGAATGAGACTGGAATGAGGTCTGTGGTATTATTATGCTTTGCTGTTTCTTCCTTATGCTATCTTAGAGAAAGAAAGGTAGGAAAAGAGGAGGTTTGGAATAAAAGAAGAATTAAAGAAATTCTGATGTCAGATTACTATGCTGAAGCTTAGAGAAATGGCAACTACAGGGCTTTTTGCAAGAAAGGGTTTTGATATTTAATGAGAGTCAAGGTGAGATATATATATTTATATTATTTATATATATTTAAATATACATTTGTGTATATTTATATATACTATATATTTATATACTTATATTTATGTATTTATTATTTATATATATAAATATTTGATATCCCGGCTGTTTTTCTTTTGTTGTTACTATGGAAAATTTCAAAAATATGCAAAAAAGTATAGAGTACAGTATAATAAACAACCGGGTACTGTATGCCTTAGCATAAATGACGATCAACTCAAGGCTAATCTTGTTTTATCAAGATGAACTTTGTAAAAAAAGCATTGAAAAAAACCCTGAAATTCTACCTTATAGTAATCAGGGAGGGTTATTTTAATTGTACTGAAGACAACTATCTTCTGCCTCTTTTGCTCCTCAAATATTACCTCTGAATGTTTTGTCTTTCTGTGATTTTTATAAACTTTATTATCTGAAATTTGAGTTTTTCAGTTGCATATTCTAATATGCTCAAACATTTAAAACAATATATACTTTAGCCCTAAAAAACCCTTTCTGTCGGGGCTGGGTGGCTCAGTGGGTTAAAGCCTCTGCCTTCAGCTCAGGTCATGATCTCCCGGTCCTGGAATCGAGCCCTGCATCAGGCTCTCTGCTCAGCGGAGAGCCTGCTTTTTCTCTCTCTCTCTGCCTGCCTCTCTGCCTACATGTGATCTCTGTCAAATAAATAAATAAAATCTTAAAAAAAAAAAACAACCAAAACCCTTTCTGTCCTTAGACTATGTATATTTTTCAGTACAGGATATATTAAAATAAATTAAACATATTGGTTCTAGCTAAGGTGATTTAAATTTGATTAAAATTCATTAATGGGTTATTATAGATAATGACTGTCACTTGAGGATAATCAATCTTTACAAAATACTTACCGATATTAGCATAATGTTTTTTTTCTTCTGCATTAGTAGATAGCTCATACATGTCTCCATAAGCACGAGCTAACCGCCATATAAACTCTATTTCATCTCTAAACTGAAAAGATAGAACTGTATATTAGATTAACTCAATAACTTGACAAGACTATAAATGTTTTCCCCTGCAACTTTTAAAAAAGTAGGCAGGTGAACTGACATTTATGGATGACTGAATCCATTCATGTACATACAACATTTTCAATTCAAATATTCATGGCTACAAAATGTGATTTAATATGGTGTTGCATTTGGATCTTAAAACTAAGGAAGGTTATGCAGACACTAGCTCTACACCAACATGGAAGAGAGAAGGGACAGGGGCCAGACTTGGTGAGTTTTCCCTCTTTTTATTTTCCTTTCTAAGTTATCTACCTTCAATATAATGCCTCAGAGAGCATTACAAATCACATATACTCAAAAGAGCAGTCACATTTTTAACCTCAATTACCTACAAATACAATCACAATCTTTGTGTTTGGAGTTGCTAAGTCCTCAGACGAAGGATTTAAGACTTAAATTGCTCACAGAAAAGATGTCCTCCCTCCCTCCTCTCCTCCCTTCCTCCTTTCCTTCCTTCCTTCTTTCCTTGTTTCTTTCTTTCTCTTTGGTGGTAGTAGTGGGAGGTATGGGCTTTTTCAAGTCAGCCCAACGTTAAATGTTGAAAAATGTCCATTAGTAGAAACATGCTGAAACTGATGGTTGTTACACTAATAACTCTTAAGACAGAAAACTTAAAATTGTAGCTTTCCTGCCCCAACAGAAGCAGTAGGTCATATTCTTTATGTTATAAAGTACATATCAAATATGGCAAATTAATAAGAATCAAATAAAAATAGGTGTGTATAATCTGATCTCCGGTTCTCATTTTCATGATCTCAGAGCCTCATAAACTCTTATAATTTACTTTTTAAAAGTTTCAGTTAGATTATAGAAAAATTTTGCATCAACCATTTAGGTAACACAATTGTTACAGTCATAACAGGAATGGGACTGCAGGTAAAATTAAAAATCAAAATTATACAAACGTTATTGTCTCGTATCTCTTACCTTTTCTTTGTGATCACAAAGTAGTTCGAAACTCTCCAACTTGCTACATTCATTCATACGTAAATTATCAGCCTTCTGAAGAAGGACATCTAAATTTAACTCCTCTATGTGTGTGTTAAATGCCTTAGTGACTGGAAAATTCTGTTCTTCTGTGTCAGTATTAGCTGTAATATACCTAAAATTCAGAAATAATAAATAATGATCAAATCTCTTGGAAGTTATATTATAATAGCCAGAGTGATTCTTTTAAAATACAAGCCAGTATGCTATGAATACAAGAACAGATGAGTGACTGATGAAATCAAAGAGGCATGAAGCAGATCGGCACACATATGGAGCTGTGGTGTGTGATGGAGTTCGGCTGTCAGATCACTGGGAAAGGAAGGGAAGGGCCAGGAAAAAAAATGGCTATGCCTATGGAAAACAATGAAACTGAATCTCTACAATATAATATTATAAAATTAACTCAGGATGATAAAAGGAATTAAGTGTTAAAAATAATTTTCTAAACTCTAAGTAGAAATTAATAGGTGAATATCTCTCAGTCTTAGAAGCAAAAGATTTTCTTTTTTCTTTTCCTTTTTTTTTTTAAGATTTTATTTATTTATTTGTCAGAGAGAGAGAGCACACAAGCAGGGGGAACAGAAGGCAGAGGGAGGAAAAGGATCCTTGCTGAGCAAGGAGCCCAATATGGGACTCAGACCCAGGACTCTGGGATCATGACCTGAGCCGAAGGCAGAAGTTTAACCGAATGTGTCACCCAGGTGTCCCAGAGCAAAAAATGTTCTTAACCAAGATATGAAAGAATTAGCTATAAATGATTAATTATGAGTGACTAATCAGCTTAGTTATATTAAAATGAAAAAAACTGCTGCTAATCAAAAGACAATTTCAAAAATATAAGAACATAAATTAAAAACCAGGAATAGATGTTTTGCAACATATCCATGTGGAGAACATTGATATCAAGAACACATAAATGCTTTTCTAAAATTAGATAATAAAAGATGCAGTGCAGTCAATAGAAATATGCTTGATAGATATAGACTTTCCCAAATGAGAAAATACATATAGTCAATAAACATAAGAAATGATGTTCAATGTTCACTAGGAAACAGAGAAATACAAATAAAGACCACAGGGAGATATTATGTAAAAAGTCTGATAATATCAAATGCTGGGCATGAAGTCAATCCAGAGGATCTGATGTGAATGCAAACTGGTGAAACCAGCTGGGAAAGCACTCTGGAGTTATCTTGTAATTGTGAATTTTTCACATGCCCTAGGACCCAGTAATCTGGTCCCCTGCATATGTGCAAAAAAAGATATGTATAATAGAGAGAGCAGTACTTTCAAACACCAGGAAACAACCTAAATGCCCATCAAAGAGTGAATGAATATTATACAACAGTCAAAATGAAAGAAATACAGTGATGAGCAAAATATGAAGGGATCTTGACAAACTTATTATTAAGTGGAAAAATAAGCTCTTAAAACTATATACAACACAATCCCCTTTCCATAAAAACAATCAAAATTAAATGTGTATCTTAAGGAACATACACACACCTGCAATGAAATGATATTATTAAAAAAGAAGGAATGAACAATATAGATTAGACATTCAGGGTAATTGTTACCTTCAGATAAGGGAAGGCAGGGGAGCCAAATGGTTTGATGAAGATTATTGTCTAGGTCTTATCCTTGGTTTTAGGAGGTAGTTTCATGGATGCTTTTACATTATTCACAATAACTAACTAACTGACTAAAAGTGACACATGCATGGACCAGTCCTTAGAGTTTGCAAGAGCTATTCTATGTACCTGAGATATAAGAAAATGATAACCAAAAGGAAGTAACTATTTTAATATCGGACATAATGTTCTTTAGAGCAAAAAGCATTAAAGAGGGACACCAATGCTAAATGGTTCAATTTATGATAAAGAAAGAGCAGTTTGAGACGTCTATGCATTTAAAAACTCAAGTCTCAGATACACGGAAAACATAAATTAACATCTACAAAGAGAAATTGAATCCACTATGAGAACAGGAGATTTTTAACATAACAGTCTAAGTAATTGATAAAGTATAAGAAAAGGTAAGGATACAATTTAGGTGCCAAAATTAATAAGCTCAAATCCAACTAACATATATAAAACTACACATTGAGCCCCAGGAAAACAATGTCATATGGAATATCTATGAAAACAGCCACATACACAAGGCCACGAAGCAAGCCACAAATGGTAACAAACAATCTGTTGTGTAGACCATATTCTCTGTTCACAATGCAACTAAGTTAGAAATCAACACTAAAGAGTAGGTGAGAAAACCTCCAAATTTAAAAATAATTGAAACATTTCCATCTACATGCCCACTACACCGGCTAAAATGAAAAGACAAAAAACACCAAGAGTTGGTGAGGATGTGGAGCCAATGGAGCTCTTAAACATAGCTGATGGGAGCAAATCAGAACCACCACTTTGGAAATAATGTTTGGCAATATATCCTAAAGCTGGTATACACATACTCCATGGACACAGTCATTTCGCTCCTAGGTATATACCCAAAAGAAATGTGTACATATGTTTATCCAATCATAATAGTCCATAACTGGAAAGTACCAAATGCCTATGAGGAATAGGGAGCTTACATATTGTGGTATATTAACGCAATGGATGAGTATTTAGCAGTGAGGATAAATGGTCTTCAACCACGCACAACGATATGCATGAGTATCCCAAGCTAATATCAACTGAGAGAAGCTAGACACAAATGGGCATATGGTGTATTATTTCATTTAGATAAAGTAAAAACATAATTTTAACTGATGTATGCATTTGGAAATCAAGATGGGTTATCCTGTTGGTGCCAGGGAGTGACTGGATGAGAGCATGTTGGGAATATCTGAGGTACTAAAAATATTCTGTCTCTAAATCTGGGTGCTGACTTTACCATTGTATTCAGCTTGAAAAATCCGTCTGGGTATTTGTTATTTGTATGTTTTTCCACATGTACTCCGTATTTCATAAAGTTTAAAAAGAATTTTAAAAAGATACATCTCATACATGAGAGAATATAAGAAAAGAAAGAAAAGCAGAAGTCATTATAAACAGCATCAGGAATGAAACATTGTTACTATAGACACAGCATAGATTTAAATAACAGACTATTAGGGCGCCTGGGTGGTTTAGTGGGTTGAGCCTCTGCCTTCGGCTCAGGTCATGATCCCAGGGTCCTGGGATCGAGCCCCACATCAGGCTCTCTGCTCAGTGAGGAGCCTGCTTCCTCCTCTCTCTCTCTGCCTGCCTCTCTGCCTACTTGTGATCTCTCTGTCAAATAAATAAATAAAACCTTAAAAATAAATAAATAAATAAATAAACAACAGACTACCATGAGCAATTTTAGGCTTAAACTTGGAATGAAAGACAACCACCTAGAAAAATATAACTGGCTAAAACTGCTCAAGAGAAAATCAACCAGTTAGTCCAGAAAATGAAATAAAAAGTTTCCAGATTGGAAAGAAAGAAGTAAAATTATCTCTAATCACAGATGACATCATCTTGTTCATATAAATCCTAATAAATCCATAAAAAGCTATTAGAATAAACAAGTTCAAGATTGCAAAATACAAGATCAACTTATAAAAGTCAATCGTATTTCTATACAACTAGCAATGAACAATCCAAAAACAAAAATGAGGAAAACAATTTCACTTACAATATTATTAAAAAAAAAAATTCTGGGGCACCTGGGTGTCTCAGTCAGCTCGGTGTCAGACTCATGATTTTGGCTCAGGTCATGATCTCATGGGTGGTGAGATCAAGCCCCTGGGTTATGGTCTACACTCAAAAGGGAGTCTACTTGAGATACTCTCTCTCTCTGCCACTGCCCACTCATGCGCGTCCCCCACTTCTCTCTCAAATAAGTAAATAAATAAATACTTTTAAAAAAAGAATAAAATTCTTAGGATTGAATTTAACAAAATATGTGCAAGACTTATATACTGTAAACTATCAAACATTGCTGAAATTAAATAATAGGATCTAAGTACATGAAAAGAAGTTTTGTGCTCATGAATCAGATTTAGTTGTGATGGCAGGATTCCCCCAAATTTATCTACAGATTCAAAGTAATTTCTATTAAAACTCAGCTGACAACATTTTTCCCCCAGAAATTGACAAGCTGATCCTAAATTTCACGTGGAAATGCAAGGGACCCAATATAGTCAAAATAATGTTGTAAAAGAGGAACAAAGAGAATTCATGCTTCCAGATTTCAAATTTTACTATAAAGCCACAGTAGTAAAGATGGTACTGGCATAAGGAAGATAGACATATGGTATAGGGATTACGGACCTATTAAGAATTCAGAGTCCAGAAACAAACCCTTATGTTTATGGTCAATTTGTTTTAACAAGAATACCAAGACAACTAATTGGATGATACAATTTTATTTTCAACAAATGGTACAGGGACAAATAGATACCCACATGCAGAAGAAATAAGTTGGAACTTCGCTCACACCATATATAAACATTAACTCAAAATGGATCAAAAACCTAAATGTAAGAGCTAAAATTATAAAACTCTTAGAAGAAAACACAGGAGTAAATATTAGAAAGAAAAAGTAGATAAAATAGATTTTATAAGATTTTAAACTTTTGTGCTTAAAGGAAATTTTCTTCATCAAGAAAAAGAAAAGAAAATTTAAAAATGGAAGAAAGTACTTACAAATGAAATATACTGACGTATATCTAACAAGTATGCTGACAAATATACTGATGTATATCTAATGAGTACACAAATAGATTTACAACTCAGTAATAAAAAGACAAATAATTCAATTTAAAAATGGAAAAAGGACTTAATAGATATTTCAACAAAAGATGATAACAAAATGGCCAAAGAACACATGAAGAGATGGCTCCATATCATTAGTCATTAGTGAAATACAAATCAAAACCACAATAATTAATTCATTCACACCTTCTAGGATGGCTAAAATAAAATAGACAATAACAATGTTGACAAAGATGTGGAAAAACTGGGACCCCCCCCCTACATTGCTGATGGGATTGTAAAATGGTGCATCAAGTTTGGAAAACAATACAATAGTTCCTCAAAATGTTTAACAGCAAATTACAAATTTGACTCAGCAAATTACAAAATGACT